GGGTATACTCCTTGCAATATCCACGATGTTTCAGCGAACGCAAGACATGCGGATGAGGGTTACACTCAACAGGGCGAATTTCGCACATCTTGGCTCGTACGATACAGACCCTAGTGTGCGCTTTCTGAAATAGTTTGGCATGTTGAGTTAGGGAACTTGCGCAACTTGTTAGGGGCTGATAGGCAGCAAGCCTACGAGTTGCATCCCAAATCTCAATTTCCCATCTTCTATTATGTGCTTTGCTTCCCAAGATGGCTTCGTTTAGTCATCGATTACTCACCAGAGAAAGGTTGAACACAAATTGTTGCCTGGTCGTTTGGTGCGTAAATAACACCTTACAGTATATCAGGCAGGATGTTCGACCTAATAACTAACCCAAGTCACGGCTGTCAAACCTTTAAACGTTTATTTTGGGAAATCCAAGCAGAAGGAGCTAAAATGACGTACACATTTCTAGCCACTGAATATCATCATTCACGGTTGCTTCGGAAGGACATCATCAAACACGGTGATGTTTCCGAAAATAATGCTGATATCTACACATGAATCATCAAACTAAGAAGTGATCACTTCATGGTTCGTAGGTTTGACATCGCGCATTGTACGCGACCTTACAGCTGCTTGTGGAGGCGCGGATCACATGCAGGGGGAAGTTGCGGCTGGATGAATTTGTCATTGCCACGCAGCTCATCCTTGACATTGCAATGTAAGCAGTTGTATGCCCTTGCTTAAACAACACTATGACACCCAGTGCTATGCACCAGCAGACATTGAGGACCTCTTAACGCGCCGGGATATTCGTAGGTTCGACACCAAATACCATCTTAATTTAGCCCATCACTATCTGTGGCCTTTTGGCAGCTGAACGGGCCGGGAAGTCACCCTCCGTGAGAGTGGGCTTAAGCAATCAACCATATATTTTAGGGGCCATTACTGGTAGTAAATGCGTTCACAATTATTTTGAGGTAGAACGAATGCATCAAGCTACTGAACTATTAAAACCTTCATAATTTAACTGGCGACTCTCAGCATTTACGGTGATCATATGAACAATCCGGCCTGCGGAAGTCAGAGAATCTAGTGCTTTTCGCACTAGCTAACTCGAATACTGATGCCACAAAATTGTCGACCATGAGTAGAGCAACTTATTCCTATGATATCACTAGTTAGTGAAGCTGAGATAAATGTCTTGGTTTGTCAAAAGCGAATTATTCTACACTCAAACCAATTCGAGGTTCACCTGACCAAGGTCGTCCCCATCATTCTGCTGTAAAGGAGCAGATAATCTGAGTATATCGCAGAATGAAATATGCCAACTGCATGAATATATGTGTGTTACCGTTGTATCAAGGACAGAGGAATAGGCCTTATATTGACATCGAACAGGGGACGCAATAATCTGTTTGTAGGATCTTGCTACCAAATAGAAGGCAACACCGACCTGATAGGACCTTGAAAGACAGGTTTATAAATAATACGCCACATCTGATTATGCTCAACAACAGCATTAGACAGATGCTTTAAACTGATGCGTTACCGGTTCACAACTGCGATAACCTATCAAGGAGAATCAACAGATTCAAGAAAAGTGGGATTTAATAGAAAGCCTAGATGAACTAAGCGTATGTCCGGTAGCATGACATCTATACCCTGTCAGCAACACAGTCACCGACCGATGAATATTGTACAAATACCTCAACATCGATGGGACAGCTTGTTACAGGCTTTTGCTGTCCGAGTCATAAGCAGCTTTGATGCACAAATAACTCAAAGCATGACACAATTTAAACACATAGTTCGACCAGGAGACGAAAGAAAATGCGCCACCGGTGGACGTTAATACGTGGACCCTTTGAAAGATCTAACCAAGTTTAGAGTGCATGGTATAGACACAAAACTCGAAGGTGAGAGGGAATACCAGCAACTAGTTTAGTTGGCAGCGACCTTTTTTAGCTTCCGGGGCTACGTTTGTTCACATCGAGCATTGTGCATCGTGCATACAGTTTACAGAAGAGTGCTCCTCGTTATTCAATGGGCAGCCATGAGTAGTGCAAGCGGCCGCCCATAGTGGTGATATAGCAGTTCAACAAAAAATGGGCGTGCAGCCAAGCTGCAGCTAAAAAGCCAAATCATCAGGACCTGGGAAATTTTGCTGGCATATATGCTAATGGTTAAAAGCCGAAGAATGCAGCTCGACACGTTTTTCCGTGTGTTGCGAGTGACTACATTACATGTAATGCCACATATATTCTCAACTCTACGATCAGCAGCTTGAAAAGCTATGCTTTGCGCAGCTGATTCGAATTGCCAGACAGGCTACTTTTCTCTCACCAGCAACCGTTTTAGCAACTAGCTCTTTGCTTAATTTATACTTACAATGTGTCATCCGCCACAGACCGCTTAAACGTGGTTGTCCGTAGTAGAAAATCTATTCTAGAGAACTTCCGCCTTGGAGAGCATTGGAGCCTAACTGTGTGTAGTATGTGTAAGGTCGACAGTTCCGAGGGTTTCCATGTACGTGGATCATATTTGATCGAAAGGGCTGAAGGGCAAAACAGATACTTCCTAGGCGGCCGGACAGTCTTATCACAAGCACCTGGTAAGAGCGGGAGCTGGATGGAGCATGCGGCTAAATTAGTCCTTGGAGCTAGCTGGACGGTGTTGTCACAGCTGCAGATGAAGGACCGAGTCTAAAATGACAGAATGGATGATGAGGAGATATATTTGCTCTGAAGACACCGAAGACGAAATGGGAAGACAAAGGTAAGTGGAAACGACAATGATTGTCTAGGCTAAGTCCGACGACATGTTACCTTTTAGCGTCAGCGGTACACTGCTATGCAATACCGATGCTTCGCTGCCCCTCGACCACCACCAGTCACACTTAGGGTAAAGATACTGTAAGAGTCGCGTGATCCCTACGCAGGCTCGAACGCGCACCCCCGATTACAAGGTAGGTTTGCGATCTAAAAGGCCACGGGCAAGCGGTTTGCAACAAAGAAGCTGACGCGCTACATTATCCGCTCTTATGTGGTGCTGTCCTCAGCGCCAACAGAAGCCGTGACGTGTGTCAATCTGCTGACGAACATAGAGACTAATGAGCGCTTTGGTGGAGTCGGAAGATTCTGCGAGAAGTACTGCTAGTGATTGCTGTAACGGCCGCAGCCCTGCTTCAGAGACTAGCATTTTACGCTTGCATGGACGCCAAATATGCACTATCCGTCTGGTTGGTGGTTTTAGTTCCTTCAGTATCCGACACACAGAGTAGGTCGCGGTAAGCTCGAAGACCTGAAACAGAAAGCAAAAAGAACGCAGATTGTAGGAAATCAAATCCTAACCAGCTAGTAAGAACGAATATCGACCAGTAACCTACAGAGTGCCTACTGACAAGCCGATACCAGAGAGTGGCCCAGTAGCCGGAAACAATCAAGCACAGGATGAAGCGTTCGCATTCAAGGTAACGACGGGCAAGAGAGGGGGCTTTTGACAGAGCTTAAAACAACGTGTCGCGCCGGGTTACATGTGACGTCGGTTATTCTAATGGGTCATGCATCAACCGATCCACCCAAACCTCATGACTCGGCCGGAAACGTGAGTGTCACGTGATCAACTTTCAGACTTATATGTGGTCCACCAAGCCGTACGCGTCAATGCCGGTAACACGTCATGGAAGCAAGAAATTACACAGCTTTCGGCACTTACTGCTCAGTTCAGTGCATTCTCACACGTTGTTTTCTCACATCCTTACCGTAACCATTCAGCAAGCTACAGTTTCTCATTGATATGCGTAATTGTGAAGCCCCGGTGTACTAGAGACCAACTGGAAATTGCTTTAGTTACTCGCCTGTTTTGTACTTCCACTGAATGCACTTTTTTGTCACCCATTATTGGTAGTGCTTTGACCTATCAGAGTGCATGCAGCTTTCCGTTTACGATGTAGCAGCCCACAAATTGGAAAAACCACAGTTTGTAATAATTTCTTGCTCGTCCCTTATTGTATGCACAATCCTGGCTTTGTAATCAAGAACTTATCGTTCATGCATGAGCTACTCATGTTGTAGACTGCTTTCAAAACACTTGTCTACCGGCAGTGTCGTAGTCGCAGAAGCTGCAAAATATCACGTTGTACTTTACATGCGACATACATCGCATGACTGGCCGCTTTACTGCTGACCTTAAGTTATCCGACATCCGTTGTGCTACCGAAGCATCGCGCACGTTTCATGTCAATTTTATTAATCTAGTCGTTGGCTACCTCCATACAAACAAAAATATAGTTAGAGCACTACTTTGGCCGACACTCACCGATATTCATCGATTTCTGCCCATCTTGTTTATGGAATCCGGTTAGGCCTGAAATGAGCTGTTGGTTGTGCCATTTTACCCATCGCTAATTCCATCACTCTATGTGCAATATCTTTGTGCAGCCTTGAACCCACCTTTTCTCATCTTTTCTGTACTCCCGCCAAGCTTCTCTACTTTAAACAACCTAACAGACTGTAGTTGTTCTCGTTGTTGACTGTGAGCTATCTTGGTTCTGCAGTGACACCATTAATGCAATCCCGAATAACCATGACGTGTTCGATTCCGTCCCAACTAGGATGCGAACCCCATTTGTACTCAGTTCCGTTTGTTAATAGCCTAGTTGCGCTTCGATTAGCGACAGCCCAGACACTAATGAAGTAAAACAATGTTGTCCCAAATCTGCTCCAAGAAAAGCCGGATCAAAGGTGATATTATTTCACTTCATAATGCTATTGATGATGGATGGAATGGGAAAGGTAAAACGGGAACCGATTCTAGGCGTTCCTGTGCAGCCAGTTCAACATTTAGCAGTTTTTCTTCATGAAAGCACCGTCAATAAGACGCTTTTGTCAAAGTAATCATCAGTGATTGGGTGGCATCTACATCTGGCATATATCACCCTACTTAAGTTAATTGATTGTCATAAGTGTCAATTCTGATGACGTGAACTTTTTATTTGTAAATGCACCGTACAGATCTCAGACGTATGACGAGGATTGGGGATTTTTTGTATGCACATCGCGAAAGCAACTTTGTAACTGGATCGAAAACCATCCCTAAAAAGGTAGGTTTTTCCCCAACCACCTTCCAAATTGACAATCCATGTTTTTTCGAAAGCAGAATGACATTGACATGGCCGTAGCTATGTCCTAATGTGTCCTCAATCAGATTACATAAAGGTCCCTAAGAGAATAAGGTTTAAAATGGTGGGCAAAACAGGGTAGTCACAGCAGTTTGCTCGATTGGATAAGCGAGTAAAATAGCCAGAACGGCTTTAAAAATCTGCGTATGGTTGATGCTCGTGCTCTAGCTTAAGGACTGTCCTGTAAATTTGTCTACTAGAGGAATTCGTATTGTCTTCTCTCAAAACAGCGACGTGCGTAGCCAGCTAAACACAGTGTCTTCTCCGTGTCTAATTGAGGTGTGAAAAGGTGAACTCAAAAGAAAACACCTGAAGTAAAATATCTAGAGACTCCTAACAGTTTGGGAAGCTTGCCGCGTTGTCGGTGCTCCTAAGGGACAGACAAATGTACAATCCCCCCAGAAATCACGTCCTTGGTCACTGCAAAAACGGACTGCTATTAACCGTCTATGTCCTTTTTTGTGGTGGACGCTGCCGGTATGGTTGTCGCTTTTCAGCTTTTTATTGGGTGCATTCAAGTCAATAACCGGCGATTCAAAGTACAAAACAGAGGCTTTCATTGTTTCCAATCGATCACTGGCAATGCCCTAAAATAACATCCAATCAAGTACACAATAACCGCTTTAGGATGCCACCAGTTAGAATGACGCTCATTCGCTCTGATGTAAAGTTGTATTTCGCCTTACTGTCTTACTTAGGAAAGCGCACTGGTGGTTAGCACACAGCTTAGACCGCAATCACACAGCCGTTAAATATACGATGACTTGGTGGTGAAACCATGTGGAAGTGAAAGTCCAAAAACATAGCTTCTGACCCTATGTTTGAGTTTCATAACACTTAAGTTCAAACCCCGAAATGTTCAGTATGCATTAGTGCCTTAAATTAAGTGATGTATTGCCAAAGAGAATTGCTGCAAACCAAACCTCGAATCCATTGGTGCTTATGAGGTTTTCCATTTTTAACCAACCTTTACATTTTTTTGCTAAACTGCCCACTACATGGGGCAATAACAAACACCGCGCCCCCACCAACGGAGGCATTCTACCAGAGTAGGTAGATTCACTTTCGTGCTTTTTAAAACAAAGTGAAACTATCCCTCGATATCATACAAAGAGCGTTTTAGTCGCATCTGATACCCGTTCAACCGGAATGGCAAAGTGCTGCTGCTGTCTCGGTTGCGTGCATTGCGCTGCTACGTTGTGCATTCGTATACACATGAAATATGGTGTTGCACGATCGAAGTGTACTCCTTTCCCTTTACGGTCATCATTATCCACTGCTAACTCCCCACCAGACAAATATCAATACAATGCGCTTCTAGGGTGAATCCTATGGGAACACGCGTATGTGTAGGACTCGGCGTCGGAACTCCTCCGAGTTACTGGGCAGTAGACGCAGACGATGTTCTTCGTTTCCTACGACACTAACTGAACTATAAATACGCGTGCCGTCGAGGATGCTTTCTATAAACAACTTTGTCTTTAATCGGAATAGCTATAGACTGGAATATCGTACTTGTAACGGGCGACGTGAATATTCCGATCGGTCGTCTACCAGTTGAAGCAATGCCTCAGAGACAGGTTCGAGTTCGCCAACTGTCGCAATGACAACAGCGACCACAGTATAGCTTTCCAGTTCATGCACTCACAGCGTTTATCTTGGTACTAACGAACGATAAGTTCGCTGGTTTAAAAGTGATCAAATAACGTCTGCCGTAGATGAGACACGTCAGCGTAATCTTATCGGATCATATAGGACAGACAATGTTGGATTGCTATTGGTGCTCCTGGGCTGATGATTACTCCATGCGCATTTCTCTGACTGTTTACATATATATATATATATATATATATATATGGTGGGCCGGAGGATATATATGGCTGACGTCATCCGGCTCCGAAGTTGCCTGCTACTGCGGCCTCCGTATGACAGCCACTGTACGCCTGCATCTACAGACGGACCAAGGGTGACTTGCGCTGCCTTACACACAGCTCCATCCACACACTCCAAATCCAGTGTTAGCCCGAAGAAATAAGACCGGTATTCATGAGGATGGGAGCCACCTTTCATCAATGGAGCCGGCCCACCCTCATTCAACAAGCAGAGCAGCAGTATAATGCCTAATTGGAGAATCATGCGTACCAGACGTACACTAGGCGGTAGCAGGGCCGTAGGTCGTCCCACAATGATTTCATGGAACCAGTGATTGAGCTTAGCATGGCCACATGGACCGTACACCCAGTCCCCTCCAAACACGAGTAACTGTCTCCTGAAGCCAGTTTAGGTAAGGTAGTGGGTAATACATGTGTAGGCACCTCGACAACATTTACACCAAGGGCAACCGTACCAGGGATATCAGTCAACAGCCAACACCTGAAACGCAAGAATTTGAACACGTATAAATATATATATATATATATATATATTTATATATATATATATATATATATATATGTAGACAAATGTTAACAAAAGGTGAGTAGAACTGGCAGCATCTTGGAACTCAATGGTCAGTAGTAGAATAGCCGTAAAAATGAGACAGAAAATCCTTTGGCCGCTTCGCGCACGCCACTTTTGTGACAAAATGTATGAATACTGGCAACTGTTTATGCAGATTTTCCGTTGAGTACCTTTGTGTGCCGAACGACCTGAAATTCGCGCCTTCTTGATGAATCGAATTTTCCCATCCAAACAATTGGTGGGTTTTCACCTGCAAAGCTTTCTACCTAAATATTCCACAAATGGCGGTTTGAGAAGCTTGTGAATTGGTGACTATGACTTGACACCGCACAAGGTCACTTTACGCTGCTTTGCTTTGGTGAATTGTTTTATTACTTTAGTTTAATGTTTGAAAATGTGAAAATAAGCATGTTGCACCTTGACCGGTGCAACAAGCTAGTTTGTTTAACAGAATACTTGCATGCTACAAGACGCAACTTCCAACCAGATCTTTGAAAACCTCAGTATTGCGAGCACATCTGGTCGATTCTTTTCAGACATCTATTGTTGAGGGTGGAATGCCGATGTAATTCATTCATGCGAACTGACTGGGACTCACACTAATACAACAACACCGCCGAACAGAGATGTTTTATACCAAGGGCTTAACGAAGATGGTGAAGTCACAACGACGCTACAGTTGATCCAGTTTGAAGAACGCTAGCTGATCTTTGACAATGCGAAGAGAAATTTTCGTTCCGATGGTGTCACCAGCACTATCACCGCTTCCAATTTAGACAACACTGTCTACTTGTTTGAGCTGTGCAGTTCCAACGGTGAGCACGGGAACGGATGTAAGATAAAACTGCAACAACACTATGCGCTGCAAGAAAGCGAAGCAAGTACCATACTTTGATTCCTCAATATACCGACGGTTCAGAATTAGTCACGTACTCAGCGTGTTGTCACCAGGATAGTCGATATTATCATCATAACCATAGTTCGTCGAGCCTGCAACTGGTAGAAGCTCGTAGCCAAAACTTTGGAGGTTTTCCAGATCTCTTAAGCTAATATTTTTAAGTGTTAAATTGAGGAATGGGGACTGAGATCAGCGTTGTTGTACACGGTGCGTGATAGCGAAGGACCAAGAACGTTTGTTGCAAACCCAACTTCTACAGAAGACGTGAAGGTATGGTGCACGGTGGATGGCAGTCTGCAATATCACAGACCAATTCAGTCAAACGAGTCAAATGAAACCCTTAATGTCGAGAAGTGGTAGAGCTCTGTTAGGAGTGTTGGTGCTCAAGGATTTGTTTGAGATCAAAGATTTCTCCCATGCACCTTCAGCCCGGGTGGAAGCCAACATGTCCTATGCGTTGACGTGGTTCAGCTATTGGAGGTAGTTGGCGAAGCGCAGTGCATTCCAACAGGTTGGAGGTAACCGAGGTGAAACTGATCCCATTGAAGTTTATGTATGAAGTTCAGGCACCTCTCATGACAGCCTTTCGCAAACAATGTGGTCAGATGCTTCATCATTACTGCGCATCCACATCGGAAGTGCTCAGAAAGAACACTGATTAAGGCATAAGAGACTTGAGTCACTTTAAGCGGTAAAGCTCAAGACAGACATCACATTGGCCAGGTGGATGCAGTGGGGAGAACCAGGGTAGGCTAATGGGTATGTTGTGCCTGAATGTAGACTGCTGGAGCCCCTCTGACTACCAATGAGAGTGGTCGACCAAACGGACCAAACAGCTCTGCCGGTTAGTGAACACGTGCCTATCCAACTCGCCAATAACCTCATTGATAGCTGGATCTATAGGACCGGTGAATCGAATAATTTGCAAGAGCTTATGGGTATCGTTAGCGAGGACAGCGTCCATCACCGAAGCACGCTGCGAACACCGAGCTCTACGGTTATCGCACAGCGTTCACTTGCTTTACCTGTTCACAGACCAATGCGGTTCATTGTGACCTGACCCTACCGGAATATTTCTTCGGTGGTCGATCAACTTCAGAGATCGAGCAGAGAGACAAGCACTTAACGGACGACGGTGGCAACATTGTCTTCCTGGAACAAATCATTGCCCCCCTAATAGATGTCCAGTATTGCTTGATGTATTGCGGTGCATCGCAAGCGAGTGCGTCTACCATTAAAGACTGTCAGCTCAGCAAGAACGATGCATCAGTTAGCCTGTCCGCAGTAATCTTTCGGTCCCTCCTCTACAGAGATCATCCTAAACACATGTATACCAGTATTTCTTTGCGTTGTTCTGCTATTTGAAGTCAATTCTAAGGTACATAATTGGAGACCACACTTGCTTTAACGAAAGGGGGCGCAAAGTTGCGGATTGTCTCGTCATATCTCCGAATGTGGTGGTCAAGAAAAAGGAATGATTCGCGTCGCTAAATTGGTGAAGTATCACCCATGTGCGTGCGACTCTCTCTGCGCACATTATGGACACGAGTTTCCATTCAGAGGACGACAGGCAAAATGCACGTTTATTCTGTCCTGGAGCAAAATGATGATACTGACGTTTAAAAAACTTAAGAACTGCTGACTTTCATACTAACTGTAGTCCTTGGTTTAATCGCACCTGCAGTCCATAGCATGATACACGAATATAACGCACAAGTTGCATTTCGTCTCCGGAGACCTATTTTCGACATGATCATTAAAGCCGGACCACACACAGACTTGGGTAGCGTGATCCAGTTTAACAGTGTGCGTTTGATTTTTCGACTTGTTTCTAATCCAATGGTAGCCATATCCACTCCAACTGCTTCTGTCATCGGACAGACGCAAGTGATACTTTGCTCTGCTGTCGGTTGCAGATATCGAGGTAAACACACAACAATAGCCTTGTAATCCGTCTTTTTAGGTGTAGCTGATATCTATGCGTGAGACTCCAGGGTAAATAGTAGACCGGTGTGTTGCGATAATTGCGATTACTGACTCAGCAACTGCTGTAATGTGATGTGAATGCATGAATTGCGTTAGCAAGAGCAGTCGAGCATTCTATGGTTCTTCAGAAAGCGTGCTACTGTCCGGCTGCCCAAGCCGAACTAACTCGGCAATCATATGAACGTACATCACACCGAGTCTTCACAACCTAACTTAATCGTAAGGCAGTGAAACCAAGTTACGGATTCACATGCATTAAAATTAGGTTTCGGTTTGCCTTTATCACACAACTTTGTGTTTTTAGTTACCAAATGGATGCACACTCCCTTCCATTATCTTAATATCTATCCACTGAAGTTCAGTGCTCCGCCACGGTGCAGCAAATGCAGTGAATTTACTTGGTTAGAAGTTACCTCCGCCGTATCAGTGTTGGTATACGGCTTTTGTGGCTTACTAAGGGAATAGCCCTCGTCCCACCACGTCCTGGAACACTTCGCTGAACTATCCTCGGCAATGGGATAGACCCAAATCATGTAGCTAAGACCACGGTAGCTACGTCGCCTACGGAAAAGCATATTGCACACCGATTCCTAGGTAATGCACGTTTCCCCTACCCTAGCCACTTGGTAAGGATCATAGATATGACCTTGATGGTTTGTGAGACAATTTATAACAGTGCTCGGTAGCTTCTGTTACTGTAATGGACAGAGACCAGCAGAAAACGATCTTTTGGGTTTTACACAAGTTATTTTGAGCTTTTTACTTTACTTTTACTTTACTTTTCCACATTAATAAACCATTTGGTTCCACAACACTGTCGCCACAAATGTCCGTGGCGCGCCATAACCACCAGCGTTTCCAACCGCTGGCAGTCCGAGTCGCTTAGTCCCCATCCTGGAGGGCGGACCGGTCCGACGAATGCTAAGCTAGAAGTTGCCTTCTTAATGCTCTTTCATTACGTCGTTAGTTGTCCACCGCGGCCCTTCTTTCAACCGCCCTTGGAAAGCACAAATAACACTCCAAGAGTAACGCTATAGGCCGGCATGAGAAATACTTGGCCGAGCAAATGCATGCGGCGTCGGAGAATAACGATTTGGATGTATGACCTGTCTGCCCTAAGCACTCGCGCTCGGACTTCTTTGTTGCCTTCGGAATGCCATCACCACACGCAAGCAATTCTACGCAGATAACGATTACCGAAAACACAATCGTTTCATGCCTTCCAAGCGGATACGCCAGGTCTCACAGCCATACAAGTGGACTGCACAGACAGAGACAAAGTAGACCCTGCCCTTGAGTTTGAGACTGACGTCGCGACGGCGCCATAAGTGTCTCAGTCTGATGAAAGCTAGACGGGCCTTTGCGATTCGTTGTGAGACCTTATCTCTAATATAACCACCAGCTGTGTTGCAATTCCCGATATAAGTGAAAAAGGGGAAATGTTCCAGGACGTCACAAGCAATGGTCAAGGCAGGAACGGGTATCTGTCAATCCTGGAGTAGCATTTTGCATCTTCCGGTAGGGAAATACAAGTCATACTTAAACGCCTCCATTGTTAAGTGGTTCAAATCGCTCTGGACGGCTTGTAGATCGTCCCCGTGCAAAGCGATCTCATCGGCGTAATACAGGTGCGCGAGTTTGTCACCTGGGATAAGCTACAAACCACAATTTCAGACGCCTTCCAATGCTCGTTGGAAGACATCTTCAATGGCGAAATAAAAGACGAAAGGTGAAGTAGAGCAGCCTTCGCGAACACCGCTGGGGAGAATAAACGGAGAGGAATGCATGCTGTAAGACCTGACTTTGCCCGACGTGCAGCTGTAGAGTTCATTCAAAATGGTTACAAACTAGCCGGACACACCATTACTTAGTAGACAGTTTCCAGCGCAGATTTACCTACTGAGTCAATTGACGCTCGGATGTCCAAGAACGCTACGATTGTCGGCCACCGGTTGACATGACGGAGCTTAAAAAGTTGGCGGAGTGTGGGTATTTGGTGGATGCAACATCTCTCTGGACGGAAACCGGCTTGTTCCTTTCCGGAAACTCCCTCTCTAATCTCTGAAAGCCCTCAGAGTAGGACAGACACAAAGATCTTGGACACAACAGCGATAAACGCAATTCCGCGGTAACTGGTGCAATTTTCGCAGGATTCTTTCTTGTGGATCAGGACATTGACCGATTCCCCCAGGCAATTAGGACTTCCTTATCACTCCAAACCTTTGTGAACAGTGGCAGGATTTCACGGAAAACTGTATTCTCCCCGTCTTTGAATGGAACCGTGGTAGACTATCAAGACCGGGAGCTTTGTGACGTTTCAAAGCTTGGTTTCGCTTCGGATCTCTGATTCCGTAGGAGGACCTGTGGGGACATGTTAAGCACCACCCAAGAGCAATGGAGGTGGCACAATGGGCTGTGCTTGGTAGTTAAATAGCAAAATAAAGTTCACTGCCCAGAGGCATAAGCACCTGTGTAAGTTGGTGATTTTCGTGCCGTCTGACTCACAAATCATGAATTGCGACCAGTGATTCTGATGAGCTATAATAAACTGCGAAAATTTCCAGCCGATGCAACGGCTTCCATCACAGCAGCTCGTTTTGACGACCAGGATTCACGATCAGAGCAATGGCTTGCTTGCAGCTGTTGACAGACCGACGGGGTTCGTTGTGTTTCGCATCAGCGGGCATAGCTTTTGGCTGTGCAGCGGGTGAGGCCGCAGTTGAACAAGCCAGCGGACAGCATAGCTTGTTGCAAGCTTGACCAGTACTGATCGACATGCAGAGAGAGAAGTAAGTGTGATTTTCACGAAGTCTCGGTTGATACTTCATTCTCATATTTGAGGTCCTCCAACTTGCGGGTGTTCAGTTTGCTTTGTATGGCCCTAGGTAAATTGCCAAAAATACGTGCTAACTGTCGCACTCGCCAGTGTATGATCGGCTTCAACGTACATTGAACAAAATTATCAGCACTCACGGAGGTAATCTGAGGTGATCTCTTTGGTGATTGATGACAGACCATCTGGCGCCCCACTAGTGTATGTATTCCACTCGCAACCAACTGCTCTAGCTAGACCATAACCACCGCAAGCCAGCTTGTGAGCAGCGCCCATCTGTTTCTTTTCCAACTAATGCAATTCCCATGTGATCACTTGAGGGTGGGGCGGAGTTTGAAGGGGCTCTCAGTACTGGGTAGGACTGGTTCCAGTTATGTTTTTGGGCAGTGTTTTAGGATCAGGCACCACAGCAACTAAATAGCTTATAGAATGTAATGCTTTAAGCATATCAATATTAACATGGCGTCCACTTTATTGTCCGATAGAGTTAAGTAACTCAAGAGAACTGGATCCACCGCAATGTGGTCCACGGGCAATAGTTGATTGGCCGGACTGAGTTAGAATTAATGAAAGTACTGGTAAATCAACTAAGACTGTTCTATTAACAACCATGCTACTGTTGACGTACTCAACCCGGATGCATCTAACTATCGGCTAGGATCAGTTGCTTCAATGTTATGACCACCGGCTTCATGGACATCTCTATTCTTAGCATGCTTCCCTTAATACTGCTCTTTCCTCATATGACTTGTCGGAGAACAGTGGTGTTCCTTATTTATCCACTGCAACCATCGTGCAGCATGAATGGTGACGCATTTCGACATCCTATTTTCCTGGCTATGGTGTAACGACATTATTTTATCCGCTTTCACTTCCAATGGCCCTTATGTTCTGTGAGTTCGCAAGAGAGTTTGGCGTGGTTTTTATGGACCAGCGAATAATGACTACTCGTCGGATGAGTCCGACAATCTGAACTATAATTTTCAGGTTGAAAATAGGCGGATCGATGGTCAATTTTCCTCTTAATTTCCGTATTTCTACGCTTTTTAAAGGTTTCAGGAGGAATATATTGTCGACTAGAATCGCAGTGGCTATGTGATTTTGGCGCAAATGGTGTCGCTAGGCAGCATACTCAACCTTTGCTCAGGTAAGCTAACGGTATGTAAGTATTTGTCTACATTTTCTGTTGAATTTTGAGTTGACACGCTATAAATCACATAAGACCACTTCTCCTTGCTGATTTGGTTCAATTCAGTTAGTCAGCTGTTCAGGATGCAGTGAATACTGCTTCCATTAATCGCGTCGCGATGGGATTAAAAGTAATCACGGATGATATGAAATGGGTAGACGAGTGTGAAAACCAGCCAACTCGGTTGGATATAGGTAATTTTTAGCTATGAACTACCCATTGTAGTAGATAGATAAATAACTAGATGAGTGCTATATTCTTCATCACGGTGAGGTACGGTCCCAATAGTAATGAGCCTATCATATGGCACATGTTGGGTTCACAATAGCTATAACTTTAACTATAATTTTAACTATAACTTGATATTAGAGCAAATCTATTTCCCTTCAAGCACTGAACCGTTCATGACTGCATTCCATCAAGTGACACGGACTTTCACGCTTCAGCATCGTAATCTGTCATGTGATGCATGGTTTGCTGTGGAGCGCCAAGGAGGTACTAAAGATTAGATGTAACAGCAGGATATATGAAATGTCGCTACTCACCTCTTAGCTGCGTAATCTCGGCTAACATCTCTGACCATTAAATTGCAGTATCTAGAGGCTGATAACCAGGATTCCTTCAGGCTGCAGTCCTAGTAGGTTTCACGGTCGAAGTTTGTCTACTGGTTACATTCCATGATGACGATGAAAATGGTACCGGTGAGAGATATACGAAAGAGGAATCGGATAACTTTTTATTAACACGACAGTGTTATAGGCTGCTAGCTGGTGAGGCAAGCTGCTAGGAGTCATGGGTGCGGATCTTGATGAAATCGAGGATAGGCACTGCCAGATAAATCACCATAGAACATAACGGTAGTTTAGAGTATTTCCGAGTACGTGGAGCGCATTTCACTTGAAGCAGCTACGAAGTACCTTTAATCAATTAGATTAGCGCTCGTTATCCATCAGTATATAATGGCTTACAGAGTTTGACGCAACTGACTTCGTTGAAGTTCTGTGTTACTTTTGTGTCATTTAACACACAGTAAATTTTAAGCTTTTAGTTGAAACTCAGCAGTGTAGTAGCCACAATTCAAAGCTTTCTACCACATATTGTAAGTGTTTCTTCAACTAACAATCATTAATTCTTAATTGGTACTCCATTACACGATCTATAATCGTACCGAGTACTGAGTAGAATAGATCCAATGCATGGGTCTGAGTTACGCCTAGTGAATTCCGCCATATCAGCTTTGGTTGGTACCATGTGTAGTATGTGTCCGGTCAAGGATTCCAAGTGTTGCCTTGTCCGACATGTTTACCTAGGTCGTATTAGACTTGGGTGGCTGCAATACAAAACAGTTACCTCGTACGTGGATGCTCATATCACAAACACATAGTAAGAGATCACACTAGATAGAATGTGTGACTGGCGGACACCTCATGGTGGGCTGGATGCGGTTATTACAGTTGCCGGGGGGATCGAGCTTTATCTGAATAGATGGTGCGAATAAGTTTGCTTTATGGCTGTGAACGAAACAGGAAGGTAAAGAGAAGAGGAAACAAATATGGTCGTTTGATTGAGGTTTCAGGATCTCTTACGTCCTGAAACACTACAAGATCATGCTGGGACTTGTTACACCATGTGTGTTCGAATATGAATTGAGTGATGTATTCGGAGCGAAGAATCCGGTCCTGTAGCTCAGTCATCGGGCGGGATAACTATGCTTCATTTGTTCCACTCATAGTATCAGGATCTACATGCATAATTAAAAGGCAGTTTTGGATATCACATATTTTCTGGTTAGCGACCACACTCAGCACATATCCACTCTTTTCCCTTTTTGTTAATCAAAAATCCACTTGTCTCTATCCCTCAGAAATATTAGTAACCATCTTCTTGAGTATGCTATTATGATACAATATATTTGGCCATCAGGTCTGGTCTATAAGAATTCTGAATATTTCCTTTTTATATCTGACCAACAGAAAAACCAAGCCTACCCGCAGCACCTGCCATTCTGGGGATTCTCATCCACTCAGACAGTGAAGCTTATTTGAACCGCTGTTTTGTTGCCGTTTCTGATCGTCAAACAAACACATATTCTGTGACTTTTATTTCGAATCTGTATGACACTGTGAGAACCGCGTGCAACGAGTCCTTTGAACACCGCTTTGTAATTAGGTGTGACCAGTCTAGTATGAAGCATCCCAATCCTGTAGATAAAAGTTGCCTTGTTTTCGGATCCTCTCATTGAAAAGGGCAAATTAAGTCGTACTAGGAGGCATTTGACAGTGAATGACGCTGCGAATTTTTTAAAAGTTTTTTAGGGAGCTAACCAAACTCGGGTTTTTGCACTAAGTGTCTGGGTCAGTGCATAAACAGTGAATCCCTGTAGGAACAAGCGGTTGTGCACCGAACGCAGGCATCCACAAGTCCACAACCCGGTGTCCTGTTTACGATCTATCTTTGTCACTGCTAGGTGCGGTGTGAACTGTCAACTGAACATAGTGTCTGCCTTCCCTTTTTGACCCAGTGCCTAATAGTGACGCGATGTTGCGCCATAATTGTCTCCGTGGAGTTTACTACTATGGTACAACTGACATGCCTTCGTTTTTAATGTTTTGCGGTAAGCAAGAATAACTTCGTTTTCTTGACCCGCACCTGGCAGATTGATTTATCGTCGTTTCAAAGAAAAAATGTGACGTGATGCTGCGCCTGAAGAACACCAACAGACTTTAAGGTCTCCCAATCAGGCGTTTCAATAGCATGAAAGTTCTCAAGATGCGCGTCGCTAAGTAATGTTTTATACACAACGGTGTAAAATGCGTTCCATAAAGACGGCGAAAACGCACTTTAAAAGCAATAATGTAAAAAGATTATACTGTACCCCTAACATTGAAGGCGTAGAAATAAGCCGTCCACTGCAAGCTGCACTCGTTGAATTCTCCAAGCTGATTATGACAAGAAGCGCTTCAACAATGATAACCTAAGTACCGTACTGCTCATTTGTTCATTAGAACAGTAGCTCGGGTAGTTGGCAAATTGAAGTAACGCATTAAAGGTAAAATGCAATGCTTAACAACTCCCGTGAGATTGAAAATATTGAGGAAAGGAGAATTATGGTAAAATCACGTGCCTAGGTAAACCAAAGATAGACATGCGTAGAAGAGCCGAGGTGTTTGAGAGATAAAGTGTAAATCCATTGATTTGAATTATGGAAACACACCGCTTGGCTGTGTTATGTAGTCGCCAGAGAACATAAGTTACAAACTAAAATGCGAATGAGACAATGCTTCGCCAGGTCATTTTTTAAATATTGTTAGATTGAGGGCAGTGACGACATGAGTTGGTAGAGCGTTCCACCGCTGACATACTCGAAGGGAAAAATTTCCACTTCATTTTCAGCCTATGATATCTTGTCATCTTTAACCGATGATTTCTTTTAGTTTAGTGTTCCAGTTCGGTGTCAGCAGCTTTCGGTAACTTTGATTTGGGTTCTTCGGAATCTGGCAAACCATTTTGAGGTACAACCGCACGCGCAGATATCGACTGCTGAACATTCCTATGGACTTCTAACTAAGCTGGTTGGGCAGATGGAGGAAGCCTCTAGGGTTCTTGGTTGCCCTTCGTTGGGGAGTCCTGAGAGCAACGATATGCTGTTTCTGTCGTGGGGGCCACGCCAAGATTGCGTAATCCAAGTTAGGTCACATGTAGGCGTTAAGCATTTGTGGGAAGATTAGGCGGTCTAACCGACTGAACGCTCTACGAAGAGCGTCAAACTCTTGACTACCGGTACTTGACGCCTTTTCTGATGGTTTCAATCATCCGAGATCACTCTGTACTAGTACATCCAGGTCACGCTCCTGAAGGGTCATCGGCTAGGTGTGGTCTGCATGCTTGTAAACGCAGGTGGTTCACCTTGCACTTAGCTGCATTCAACTTGAGTGGGTTTCTCGTTGACCACTTGGGAACGCAATTCAGGCCACTTTGTAGAAATTGCGATCCGTACTGCTATTAATCGCGCACCATATCTCAAGCTCCTCGGCTGAAAACAAGAAATTTGAGGCGATAACTCTTGTCAAATATTTTCTAAACACTAGGATAAGCGCAGTCCCAGCACCGAGCCCTGTGGAACAATGGAATCCCATCTCAGTCAGGTGGTAGAGTGATCCACTAACACGCAATTGAATCCTCCGTTGGAGATGCTAGATGTAGATCCACCCAAGAATATGCTCCTCAGATTCATAGCTATGTAGCCAGTAATGTATGATACGGGGATCAAGAAGGACAAAAGTGTTGGAAACGTCCAGGTAGATAATGTCAATTCCGCCCTGCCATCGACTGCTTCTGTGCAACTACCGCGTACTATCAGCGGGTTGGTTGTGAATGGGTGATGTTGACAGAACCCATGCTGCTCCGGTGCCAAAACATTGTATTTTCCAGGCACTTCACTTCAGTCTCAGCGATGACCGCTTCCATTGCGTTAGAGAGCACAAGGAAGAGAGTTACTAGGTTGTAGTTTACAGGGTCTTAATGGCTATTGCCCTTAAAAATTTTGGTATCTCCACATACTATGAACCTGTGTTTATCGAAGCATCACTGGAATAACTGCGACAGCCGCTCAGCTAGCTTAGTGGTTACAGTCTTCAGACGGATATTATGGGCTACCAGTGAGCTATGATTATGCGATGAGGACAACTTCCTTTGCAGGGCTAAAGAATACATGTGTAAACCCCAGAGTCGATAAAGTGGATGACGCTATGTAACAAAGACTGGCTGCCAGTAGGAAAATCGAGGCGTATGGTAGCCGCTTCTTCATCCTCCTATGTGCCATACTGTCTGTTGTGAAAAGTGGACGGATGTCATGCTTTGCTTTGCGAACGCTTTTGGCATGCATTTACAGTAGTTTATTGTTTGCCACACACGTTTTGGTCAAACACTATTGATAGCCATGTTTATGTTCACGAACAAGTATGGTACAATCGCTGTATTGGGTCAGAAATTTGTTACACATTTCTGAGTTTGGGTTAGCTTTGCAGCATCTCTTATTGCCATGCATTTCCTATTTCTGCATCTGAGAATCGATGGCAATTTTGCGGAAAGGAGTGGCTTGGTTTCCGCTGATCTGTGGACCGCGTCGCTGAGTCTTTCAACGAATTCTGTTTATTTGCTGTCAAACAAATTTCTGATGCTCCAGCCACTGCAGAGGATAATCAACGGTGCCCTATATGCTGCATCGAGCAGGGTGGATAGGGGTTTGGATGCTACTGCTCAAGCCTTCCCGTCTTCTTATTCCCCCTCTTACACTTGTTCACTCTTATCGTCCCGTTCCAGCTTCCCTTTTATCCCCCTGTTTTCAACCCCCCAATTCTCAGCCTCCCCCACCTTGTTTCAATAGTCGCTTGTCTTTTAGTTTCAAGTCACATGTGAACGCGGAGCGTCATTCCAGCCCTGTCAACAGGCCATTGTCCAAATAAGCGGTCCCTTCCAGTTCATCGGCTTCCATTTGGAGCCCTCGATCCTCCTTCAGATTGGCATGCCTCAATGTACACACATTGCTACAGATCGGTCAACAGGCAGCACTTGCCTGAACATTAGCGACCCTCTCGATCGATATCTGCTGCTTATCGGATACCAGCCTGCAAGACTCGAGCTCTGTGCTCACTCTGCGATCCCCTTCAGGTGACACCAGCAGCGCTTTCTCATTGCGCCCATCCGGTGACGATGCAGCTTCGAGCACCGGCCAAGCCGGTGTTGGTATCGCCCTGAGTGGCCGGGCTGAAGCTGCTATCCTTGATTGGATTCCAATCAGTAGCCGGATGTGTACGGTCCGATTGGCTGGCTCCTTCAAAACTTCGAAGTCACGCGAGACTAACAAGTGTCTATTCGTCATCGCGACCTATGCACCCACAAACACTAGCGGTGACTAAGTAAACGACGACTTCTATCGCCAATTGAACGAGCTCCTTCGCCACAGAAGAAGCTCAGACACTGTAGTGCTGGCTGGGGATCTGAACGCTCAACTTGGAAAATTTTCCACTGATGAGTTGCGTCTGGGCGGCTAAAATGGTGTAGGTTCCCTAATGATAACGGTGAGCGGTTATTTCATTTGTGTGAAGATGCTCGCTTATTTCTTGCGAGCAAAAATTTCCGACACAGCACACGCCGGAGAGTGACTTGGCGCCCACCAGCCTCGAACCAGCTATGGACGCAAATCGATCACATTGCGATAAGTTAGCGACGGAGAGGCTCTGTCCAGAACTGTCGCTCGATTTGGAGCACATGTGTAGACACTGACCATGTACTTGTATGTGCTGACCTGCGGATGTGCTTTGGCGGACGCCCACGAAGACGTTGTGACCGCATTGACACCAGCCAACTTGCGAAGCCAGCTGTTCTGAATGCCTATCAAAGTATGCTGTCATGCGAGTTGGATAAACGCTCACTGGATGCAATTGAAGCTCACGGGTTTCATATTCACCAGTCCTTACTAGCAGCAGGAAACACCTCATGTGGTAAATCTAATCGCCAACATGGACATTGGGTCTCTTCGCAGTCTCTAGAACTTATCGATGCTCGCCGGCATATTCCGGCTGGAAGCGAACACAATGAAATTCGCAAAGAGCTCTGGGCAAAACTCCGTGCTAGCCTGAAGAGAGACCGAGAATCCTGGTAATCTTATCGTGCTTCAGAGATGGAAATGGCCGCTGCCCTTGGTAACCATCGTAAGTTATTCTGTCTGATACGGGAAACGGGCAGCAGGAGACCTGATGTTGGTGAAACTATACGTGAAGAGAGTGGACAGCCTATCCCCAACTTGTCAAAACGTTTGGAGCGTTGAGCTGAGCACTTTGAAAGGCAATTTAATCGGTCACTGATCTCCACACTCCATGGGCTGTCCCACTGGATACACCCTCTCGCTCAGAAGTCGAACATGAGATGGCACAGTGGAAGTTAAATAAAGCCGCAGGACCAGATGATCTACCTCCAGCCCTCTTCAAATTCGGGGGACCTGCTCTTGTGGATGATTTACACGAGTTACTAGT